TGTAAATTTCTATGTTTATTATAATAAACTTTTTATAGATAATGGTGAGAACTAGGACTGATGAGATAGGGGAGTCCTCCACTGCCTGTCTAGACAGAATAGATAGAATGATTCAGGAAATGGTTGAATCACTAATGCAACAACAGCAACAACCACCCCCACCTCCATCAATGCCTATACAACCTCCAATACAAAAGCACCAGGCGGATGATCACACGATTGCTTTGAATAAAAAATTCAAGAAAATGAAACCACCATATGGGGATAAGTGGATCCTTTGAAAGCCTAGGCATGGGTTCTCATCATTGAAAAAAGTATTTCTGCACACTAATGTACAGAAAGTTCTATTACCGGCCTTTACCTTGGAAGGCAACGCTTATAGGTGGTGGATGTTAGTCAGAGATAAAAAAGTGGGAATCAGTTGGGCCCAATTTCTTGGGATCTTTTACGATAAGTGCTTCCCTCAATGCATCCGAGATCGGAAGGTAACTGAATTTGAAGGGTTGAAACAAGGCAACCAAATAGTAGCTGAATACAAGGCACAGTTCACTGAGTTAGCCAAATTCGCACTACACATAGTCGATATTGATTACAAGAAAGCGAGAAAATTTGAAGGTAGACTTCGGAATGCAATCCTAAAAAAAGTGAATGTTTTGAAATTGCCAAAATACGTAGATGTTCTTGATAAAGCTGTAATGTCTGAATCAAATTTAGCTTCACATAACTGACTGTTTGAATGAAAAGGAAAGAGACATGATTATTATTCAAATAAGGGATCATCGTCATCAAAAAAGCAAAATTTGGGAACGTCTAATGTCTCAAATTCCACAAGAGTCCCCGCACCGACATGCAATGAATGCGGCAAGAAACGTCAGAGAGTTCGCTACTATACTTCTAGGCATGCTTTAGGTGTGGTAAGACAAGGCATATGGACAGAGATTGTCCACAAATTAAGCAAAGAAGCGGAAGACCAACCGCTAGTTCAACCGGATTGGTCCCAATGCCAGGAAACACTGCAAGACCAGTTGTTACGAGAGATACACTTAGGTAAAGAGGAGTTTTTGCATTTGTCCTGGGTGATTCATGGAATATTGAGACCGTCATCTCAGGTACCCTCTATATTTGCAACTAAGATGCTTTTGTGCTAATTGATTCGGGTTGGACACATTGTTTTGTATCTACTACATTTGCATATAGATTGAATAGACCCATGGCATCATTACTTTATGTGTTATGTGTGTCTGCTGCATTTGGGGAATCTATTTATTGTTCATTTGTATATAATGCTTGTGAAATCATTATTGGGAATACTATGTTGTTTGTAGACTTGTTGTCTCTTGATATTAGGCATTTTGATATAATTTTGGGGATGGACTGGTATTAATTGTATAACAAAATGAGTTTTGTTTAGACGTGATAAAATTTTGTTTGAGGCTAACGATGTAGTACCTCCACCTTACTTAATTTTGGCAATGAAAGCATGTAAACTACTTAAGAAGGGATGTCAGGGCTATCTGTGTAGTATTTTGACTAATCAATCCATGAATACTATGTTAGATGATATTCCAGTAGTTAGAGAATTCCCCGATGTGTTTCCGGAAGAATTACTAGGATAGTTGGTAGACTGAGAAATTGAATTTACCATTGAAGTTATGTCGAGTACTCAACCCATCTTAAAAACTCCATATATGACGTCAACTACTGAAATAAAGAAATTGAGGGATTAGTTTTAAGATTTACTTGACAAGGGTTTTATCCGATCGAGTACTTCACCATGGGGTGCACCGATTCTATTTGTAAAAAAGAAAGACGAAACACTTCGATTATGCATAGATTACTGAGAGCTGAATAAGGTAGTAATCAAGAGCAAATATCCTTTTCCTCGTATTGATGACTTATTTGATCAGTTACAGGGTTTACAAGTGTTTTCGAAGATTGATTTGAGATCCGAATACCATTAGTTGAAAGTGAAAGCTGAAGATGTTGAGAAAACTACATTCCGAACAATGTACAGGCATATGAATTTTTAGTTATGCCATTTGGAGTGACAAATACACTTGTAGCATTTATGGACCTTATGAACCAAATTTTCAAATCCTATCTTGATACTACACAGATAGCATTGATGATCTTTTGGTTTACTTAAAAAGTAAAGAAGAACATGAACAACATTTGAGAACCATTTTCTAAACACTTAAGGAGAAAAAATTATATGTAAAATTGAAGAAATGTGAATTTTGGCTAGATAAGGTTACATTTTTAGGGCATATGATTAACAGGAATGAGATTTCAGTAAATTCACAAAAGATTGAGGCAATTGTGAATTGGCCTACACTACAAATATAACGGAAGTCTAAAACTTCATGGAATTAGCTGGATATTACAAAAGGTTTGTGAAAGACTTCTCAAAGATAGTTGTACCACTTACCTAACTTACTCGAAAGGGGGAACTGTTTGAATGGACTGATGAGAGAGAATTTGTTTTTTACAAACTGAAAATGAGGCTAACCACAGTACTAGTTTTAACATTCCCATCAGGTACGGAAGGTTTTGTTATTTATAATGATGCTTCTTACAAGGGTTTGGTTATGTTTTGATGCAGAATGGAAAAGTGATAGCTTATGTTTCTCGACAATTGAAACCTCATGAAAAGAACTACCCGACTCATAACTTGGAGTTGGCCACCGTCGTATTTGCTTTGAAAATTTGGTGCCACTACCTCTATGGAGCTACATATGAAGTTTACATTGACCACAAGAGTTTGAAATACTTTTTCACTCAAAAGGAGTTAAACATGCGACAGAGGAGATGGTTAAAACTGATTAAAGACTATGATCTTCAAATTCAATATCATCTAGGCAAAGCCAACACTGTAGCTGATGCTCTGAGTAGGAAGTCAACGGGTTGCTCACTAAAAAAAAAGAATTGTTAAAAGACTTGAAAGGATTTGAGATTGAAGTGATGTTTCGTGAACAAAGCAGAATGATTGCCGTTATTTTAGCTCAAACGGTAATTATTGATGAGATAAAGCAAAAACACAGGGAGAATGAATTCCTTAAGAAGGTATATGACGAGATAAAATAAAATCCAAGACTGGGGTTCAGTGTTGAGAACCAAGTGTTGAGATTTCAAGGGAAACTGTGTGTCCCAAACACTTCTAACTTGAAAAAAAAAAAAATTTACACGAGGCTCACAAATTGAAGTTTTCAATGCATCTGGGCAATAATAAAATGTATTAAGACTTGAAGCAAAATTATTGGTGGCCTAGTATGAAAAAGAAAATTGCAGATTATGTATTCAGATGCCTTTAATAGCAAGTCAAAGCTGAACATCAAAGACCGGCAGGGTTATTTCAACATCTTCTCATTCCTGAATAGAAATGGGAACACATAACCATGGACTTTATAGTTGGTTTACCTCGAACACCTGAATGTATGAACTCTATCTGGGTTATTATGGATAGATTAACGAGATCTGCATATTTTCTACCTGTGAGAACTGTTTATGATGTTTATAGACTTGTCATTATTTATATCGATGAGATTGTTCATTTGCATAGAGTTTTGGTATCTATTGTTTCAGATAGGGATCCAAAAGGTTAGTAGAGGCCGGTCTTCGGACCGGGCGAAAGGGGGTGCTCATAGCTGACCTTCCCCGATCGTACCCAAGCTCCCGAGCCGAGACAACTCCGGTGATGATGGACATGTGGCCTTCGGCACCGAGTCAGGGTTTCCTAAATTTCCCCATTTTAAAAATATTTAGGTGGCGACTCGGTATCTGGCAAAGCAGTCCATGTTTGGCACTACTTTTTTCAAAAATCTGTTTCTCAAAACGATTTGCCAGATTTGGACTCTTTGGTTCAGATTAAGAACCGCGACAACAAAAATCGCGAGTCCGAACTGTAGTAGTGAGGTCCCCCCTCCGCGGGCGCGTGCTACACGTTATTTTAGCTCAAACAGTAATTATTGATGAGATAAAGCAAAAACACAGGGAGGATGAATTCCTTAAGAAGGTATATGACGAGATAAAATAAAATCCAAGACCGGGGTTCAGTGTTGAGAACCAAGTGTTGATATTTTAAGGGAAACTGTGTGTTCTAAACACTTCTAACTTGAAAAAAAAAAATTTACACGAGGCTCACAAATCGAAGTTTTCAATGCATCTGGGCAATATTAAAATGTATCAAGACTTGAAGCAAAATTATTGGTGGCCTAGTATGAAAAAGAAAATTGCAGATTATGTATTCAGATGCCTTTAATGTTAGCAAATCAAAGCTGAACATCAAAGACAGGCAGGGCTATTTCAACATATTCTCATTCCGGAATAGAAATGGGAGCATATAACCATGGACTTTATATTTGGTTTACCTCAAACACCTGAATGTATGAACTCTATCTGGGTTATTGTGGATAGATTAACGAGATCTGCACATTTTTTACCTGTGAAAACTGTTTATGATGCTTATAGACTTGTCACTATTTATATCAATGAGATTGTTCATTTGCATAGAGTTTTGGTATCTATTGTTTCAGATAGGGATCCAAAATTTGTGTCTAGATTCTAGAAGAGCCTTCAAAGAGCAATGGGGATAGAATTCAGATTTAGTACTGCGTTCCATCTGCAAATTGATAGGAAATCAGAGAGGAGTATACAAATCTTAGAGGATATGTTCTGAATGTGTGTTCTGGATTTTCAAAAAAGTTAGGAAACCTACTTACCATTGGCAGAATTTGCATACAATAACAATTTTCATTATAGCATTGGTATGGCACCGTATGAAGCCTTGTATGGCATAAAATATAGATCTCTGATCTATTGAACAGAATTTGGGGACATAATTTTGCTTGATCTCGAGATTGTGCAAACAACTACTGAAAAAGATCAAAATCATTCAATAAATGCTTAAAACTGTATAAAGTCGACAAAAGAGTTATGCGGATCAAAGAAGAAGGGGTATTGAGTATGAAGTCGGTGATCATGTGTTCATTCGAGTAATTCCGATGAAGGGTCAATCAAGATTTGGCAAGAAAAGTAAGTTATCACCTGAGTATATTGGGCCATTTCAGATATTGAAAAGACTCAATCCAGTTGCGTATCGAATTGCTTTACCGCTAGGGATGGAACAAATGCACAATGTGTTTTATGTGTCAACGTTAAGGGGTTATCTCCGAGATCCATTCCATGTTATTGATCACCATCGGATAGCTCTCGATGGTAATATGGAATACGAAGAGAAATCAATCCAAATCATCGACCAACAAGTGAAACAGTTAAGGAATAGAGTAATCCCCATGGTTGAAATAGAATGGAAGAAACACTATGGCATGGAAGGAACTTGGGAGAAAGAAGATTAAATGAGACAAAGATATCCTGAGTTATTTCCGACACAAGGTAACGCAAGTTAGGAGGACCAAACATCTTAAGGGGGGAAGACTGTGCCTTTATTAATTTAATTTTGAATGTTACTTATGTGTTTAATGTGATTTTGTATGCATACTTGTTCATTGTTGGAATATTTGTTATGATTTATGTTTTGAATTCAAAATTGAAGGCCTTAATGACTTTGGAAACCAAAATTCATAAGTTGAATAAGGATAGCAAAATTTCTAGAGCCTATTGAGAAATTTGATTAAAATTTGATTCAGTTCAGAAAAATTAAGTTATGATTAAATGAAGCTTTGTTTAATTTGTTCTAAGGCTTCATTAATTATTCTTAAGCTTGTTTAATTAACTTAAGCTAATCACAAGTATATAAACTTGTTTTATGAGAGCCTTTAGCTCATTCTTGAGTAGAAATTTGCTCGAGAAACTTTGTAGAGAGAGAGAAAGAGAGAGATTGAAGAAGAACTTGAGGATTTTGCTTGAGAAACTCAAGTTTGTGCAAGGATAGGTGTAACTCAAGGCTCCAGGTAAGGAATTGACCTTTAATTCAGAAAGATAATTCATCTAGCTCATGTAATTAAGAAGAGATTGTGCTTGTTTATGAATAATTGGAAAGGATTTGGCTCAAAGATCATGAAAAATTATAATAGCTTTACATGCATGCATGATTATTTTAAGTTTTTCCATCTTGAGTTTGAATTCTATTACCCATGTTGAATTGGAAGCCAATTTCCCATACATCATTGATTTCTAAAGCTTCAAGAGTTTTACTTTATGAATATGAGAGTTAAGTTCATATTTTGAAAAATACAAGAGAAATCAGTTTGAAAATCTTACATGCACGAAGGTTTTGAGCTCATTTTTGCTAAATTGATGAGTTTTGGGTAAAGGATTTGCAAATGATCATGTATTTATGTTTGTTGAAGAGTGTTCAATCTTAAAGAACAAGCCATGCATGAGTTTTGCTTTTGAAAAGGTGTTTGGAAACTCAAGCTTTCAGTTTTGAAACCCAAAATTTGGCGTTATAGCTTAAGCGACCAAGTTATCGCTCAAGCGCACATACCACGCATCCAGTATTTTTGTACAGCATTGCACATGGCTCAAGCAACCAAGTGACTGCTCAAGTGACCTTAGTTTGTTTTTCACTTTGGCTCGAGTGACCATCGAGCCTAGATTCGGACCATCCAGTACTTTTGTAGACCATGTGGTCCGCTCGAGCGACCAATGTTGCGCTCAAGCTAAGTGCCCTATTTCAGTATATTTTGAAAAGTCATATCCTGTTCATATTTGCATCCTCTCTTCCTTCCAAGCATTCTTAGGCATGATTTGGGCCTCCCTAATGAATCAATGAGTTAGAATGAGACTTAAAAGAATTGAATAAGTTAAAGGATGATTCGAGCAAGCAATCTGATTCAATGTGTGTATGTTATGAATTGTGTAGGTTCATTCACGAAGGCATGTCGACAACTAAATCATTGTGAGTAATATCTTAGTAAAGATATTTTCATGTACATTATTTTCCAAGTGTTACCAATGTGGTAAGTTTCTGGAACTTATGATTTTGTGTTATGAATTAGCCTTCTATCTGTCTAAACTATATAATATCTATATATGGGATTAATGGGATAAGAATGTATATGTTGAACCTTAGGCCATTCCGTATATTTGAAATGGACTCAATGTCGTTCTATATAGTTAATAAGATGGACCCAATGTCATTCTGAATATCTGGATATCTGTTATGTGTAGACCTAATGGTCATTATAAAGCTACAATTGAGTGGACCCAAGGTTGCTCCGCTAAGTATAATCTTTTCCGTTCTATACTTATGTATATGTTGGACCAGACGAGACGTCGTTCTGCTTTGGACCTGAGGTCATTATGCTATGACAAGAATTTGGGTATGAGATTAATTACATTGTGTATTAGAACTTATTCATATAACCTCTTTACTCTGATGTTAGTCACTGGGTTTTAGCTCAATCCATTATATATATATATATATATGTAGGTGAGCAGCCAAATGCCTAGCCTTAGAGGAGTCCAAAGTTTACCGAGTTTTGTGAAGTTAACCCTGAAACACCTCTTGGATGAGGCTTTGTTCCTTTTGTTTTTGTTGGTCATGTTTAACCACGTTTTGTGCTTTCCTTAAGTGTTATAAGATAATGTTTTGTACTTGTGTGGAATGATTTATGGATATGTGTAATATTTTTATATGTCTATGATCAGATGTGAGTTATTAACATATAGAATGTTTTTGTTCATGCCACTTATGCATAAGCTCATTAGACAAATTTTATTATTCTACTTCGGCTTCTAGCCCTATATAGTTAAACATGATTTGAATTCTGTTTGGGGCTGTAGGTAATCTCATGATTATTTGTCAGTTATGATTCAAACCTCTAGGGGTGAGTTCGGGTCATGACAAATCCAGCTTTGGCGAAGTTGACACATCACAACCAGTCACCGAACCGTCGTTACAGTGGTCGAGCTCACAAGTGAGTTGGAAGATCTGGGCGATGCAGAGGGCCGAGACTTAAACTTGGCGGCCTCTACGGCTAGTTAATTTGGGAATGGGAGATAGAGAAAGGGAGGGAGAGAGAGAGAGAGAGGTTTGTTTCTCCACCTGCCCTATTTCTAGAGCATGTAAAAACTTTCTCACTCTCTTCCATTATTGAAATTTGTAGTATCGATGAACACCTTATTTTGCTCATGGCAACCCTATTTTCCTTTTTTTTCTTTTCCCTTCTTGGTGATAAATGCTTTAGATTTACAGTGGGACTGGTAATGCTTTTTAGAGGGGAAAATGGAAACGATTGTTGCATCTAGTGCCATTACCTTAGTTATGTGCCTACCTCAAGATGGAATTGCAGTAACTGATGATGAACTTCTCAACAATTTTTGCTTTCATTCTTTGCAATCACCTTGCCATCTGATTCCTTCCTCTTTTTTATTAGTTATGCTTTTGATTGTATACATTCATAGTCTGACCCACCTCTTCCTCTCTGAACATATGGCAAATCATATTCTTATAAATTTACATAGATTCCCATTATGTATATTAATTAATGTTTTCACAGATAAAGTGATTTTATTTTTAAAAAATTCTATTATGTTGTCACATGAAAATTCAACAAATCAAGGAAAGAGAAAAGAGAAGTAGTACGTAGGGGTATAAAATCGGCCCACCGGCCTGCGGCCCAGCCCGCTTAGGCCCGGGCTCAAGCCTAGCCCATGACCATGGGCCTGCGCTTGGGCCATGTGTTTTGGGGCCTAGCTTGGCTCACCACCCCACTCCTAGGTCCAGTACGCCTGAGGCCTAATATCATTTTTAAGCTATTTTAATGGGAAAAAAAAATAAAATTTGGTGATTTTTTATTTTTTTGAATAAAAATATAGTTAGACCCACCTCAAGCTCGAGCCTAAGCTTAGGCCCAACTACTCAGCTCGACCTCGATCCGTGGCTCGATTTTGAGTGGGTTTCAACCTAGGTCGATATTTTTTCCATATGAGCTCGACTTAAAATTGACAAGAGCCCGCGAGGACTAACTATAGGTTGGCCCTAGCCTGGGCCTGGGCAGGCTAGACAGAATTTACACCTCTAATATGGATGTAAAATCAGACCATCGGCCCGTGACCCGCACGTGGCCTAAGCCTGATCCCGAGGCCGAGCCCATCCCATAACCCTAGGCCTAGGCTGTGTGTTTTGGGGCTCAGCCTGCTCAAGGCCCACTCCAAGGTCTGTCTGAGGCCTAATATCATTTTCAAGCTATTTTGGTGAAAAAAAGTAAAATTTTGGTGAATTTTGTTTTAAAAACAATAATTAGACTCGGCCCCATTGATTTTGAGTGGACTTGGGCCTGAGCCTAGGCCAAGATTTTTCCACGTTGCCTGACCCAAAAATTGGAGGGAGCCCGTAAGGCCCAGCAGTGGGTCGGCTTGAGCCGAGGCTCAGGTAGGTTGGGCCGAGTTTACACCCATACAAGTGGGCTTGTAGAGAGATAGATAGAGAGAAAAAAAAGAAAAGAGAGGTGTAAAAATTCAATAGATCATGTGGTAAATTTCAACAGATAAAATTTCACACAGATGAAAACTCAACACATAATTGTTAATAAAAATTAAAAATGTAAAATTAAAAACAAAATGTCCTCAAAAATAACAAAAATACTTCTCACAAAAATATTTTCCAAATACTATACTTGTCACCAAAAAAAAAAAAAGATAAATAAATAAATACCCAGCGGACTTTTCACCTATTTTATTTTATTATTAATCAATTATAAGACTTTGTTTTTTCAGTTGGTTTCTTTATAAATTTATGGTAAATCTCACGAAAATGGTAAATGGGAAATGTATTCTCAATTTAGTGAAAATCTTTTTAAAAATTTAACATTTGTGGAATGAAAATAATTTCAAAGCAATCAAATTTTACTTTGGTCCATATAATTTCAAATTGAATAGTTTGATTCCTACATTTTAAATCTAGTTTTAATTTGTTCATTTCATTCAAGTTGGATTAAAGTTAACAAATTTGAAATATTTGTTAGTTTCATAATATGTACATGTAGAAACAAAATTAATAGAATTTTGGAAGAAATGACTAAACTAAAACTAAAGTTAAAGTGTAGAAATTAAATTGTTCAATTTAAAACTATAGAGACTAGAATGAAATTTAGATGAAACTACCGAAATTAAAAGTATAATTAACTCATATATATTGTGGGTGTTGATTTCCGACCACACAATCAAAGGGAAAAACTCAACTGGAGAGAACTGGCAGAATAGATTAAGCCCGAACAACCTATTACAGAAAGATAAGAATTCGGCGATGGTTTGTCCACCCGGGGGCACTCCGACGATCAAGTCAGTAATCAATATCTCTCAAAGATAGCAATTTATGCTTAACTCACAAGAAATAACAGTATATCACTCATAAAAACATACCTTAGACCCACGAGGGTGTACTGCTTTG